TCTGCTGGAGGAAGAGTTGGGGGTGGAGTGAGAGCTTTGTGGTATTTTGTGGCCAGAGTTAAACAACACAAATGTAACAGCTTTTCATACTAAACTTGACACAGTTTCCAGAGACCCAATCTGCAGGGAAGCCTCGACTCCAACCTTCTGAAAGGCCCTTTACAGTTAGCACCCAACCAAGCACTCCGAATGAAAGTGATTATTTCTGTTTAAAATTCAGGATAAGCTATCACATCCAATGCCTCCTGCAGTTTGATGCTAGAACAAGACTTTTATGACTATTCAACTTCTGTGCTCTGGAAGGGATTCAGAACACAAAACTTGAATGTTCACACGCTGGAGGGCGAGTTATCTAGCTTTATAAAGCGTTGTTTCGTCTGTACTTCTCAGTCACTGCAATTCTGCTGCTGCTCCTTGAGAAACGTAACATTAAACAGCACTTTTGGGTGCAGGAGGAAAACAAATGTAAAACTAATTTGCCAGACTGCCTTTGTTTATATAAACAGGATTACACTCTCACAAGCCTCAGCAGTGGCAACCCTGCCACAATCTGTTCCTGAGGTTTTCTTATTGAAGTGTCTTCCTTCACCAAACCCATTTCTCCATCTCCCCAGACAAGTCACTATATATACATTTAAATTTTCAAAGCTTTCTCATTTTTCACAAAGGGAGGTTTTCTAACAACTTGGCTCTTACCCCTTCAGAAGAGCTTGCCTGGGAATTAATGAGCTTTAAAGACAGCTCTCTTGGAACACAAACCTTTGTGCGTCCCGGGGAAAGAGGTGGGAGAAATCACATGTGCAGTGCATCTGACTACTGGGTAGCCAACCATTTCCTCCGAGGGTTACCACATGTAGTGTTTGCTAAGAGTGGTCATGTTCAAGTTCTCTCCACCCCCTCTTCAGTGTCTTGATTTAAAAACTGGAATTCCCATTATACAAAACCCTAACAGGGCAGGTATCTGGAAAGAGATGTTCAAATCACGCCACCTCATTCCAGAAAAGCAGTACTTCTCACAGAAGTAAGAAAACTGGCAAGTCATTAGATAGGAAAGAGCAACCACAACTGTGAGAAGCGGCGTTCCGAATCCCATCCTCACGTGCAGAGGGGGCCAGTCTGTGTTTAAAGCACGTGGTGCAAAATGAACATCTGAAGCTCTCAAAGCCCTTGTCCTTTAGTGTTGCTTTGTGCGCACAAATGCCCACTTGCTTCTCTAGGGAGCAAAGAGGTCAAAGATCAATCCACAGAGTCCAACTGATCCCTCCCCGCCTCCTGATCTCCCTCAAATACCGCCACCAGCCTTGACACCAAACCCCTTCTCCTCGACGGGTGTGCTAGTGGCCCAGCTGACGGTCGTCGTAGGTGCTGTATCTCTTCACATGGATCCGGCGCACTCGGTCACGAAGTTCAAAGCCCTCATCGTCCTCACTGTGCGACGCCTGGCTTCGGCTCCTGCTTGTTGCTTCCAGTAGGGAGTTATCAGGAACCCGTGGTGTTTCATACAGTAAGACATTTAGTGTTTCCTCATAAATTCGTGCCTCGGGGAATTCAACCTACAAAAAACAGCACATGTTCTTTTTCCTGATCTATACAGGCCAGCAGGCCTGGAACACGTGCCCATGGGTAAAAGATACTCCAGCTATACAAAACGTACATTAGAAAGAGACTGAAACAACTGTAAATGAGAAAGATGAGCAAAGCAGCCTAATTCCCAGTAGAGGATTACGTCCACCACCAGATCGTTTACCTCACCTCTCAGACTGTTCTAGAACGGAACGCAGTATTTCTGATTCTTAAGTGCTAACATGCACCCTGGTCACCATACCTGCACCACTGCCAGTCAGAAGTTAACTCCTGAAGTTAGGGAAAGGCTGTAGATTTATCATGCTGATCACTATCCCATTTTCATGCATATAACACAGTATATCCTATCCTTTAGGATATACTGTGCTTGGAGCAAGTCACTTCTGCAACAGCAGAGGTGGGAAGTTCATGCATGTAACACTCTTTTCATGCATGTAACACTTAACATGTAATCCTATCCTTTAGGATATACTGTGCTTGGAGCAAGTCACTTCTGCAACAGCAGAGGTGGGAAGACTATAAGAAGAATCGCTGGAAATATGGGGAAATCAAGAGAGTTGACTATTGGAAATCTGCACTTTTTTTTTAAACAGATAGTCTACACTTTTGCACATAAAAGCACAATGATAATAAAAATACAACGTTTGAGAACAGTGTTTGAGCTCAAGTTTCCATTCCATTAATTTCATCCCAGCCATTTCGTTTGCACAGGTTGGGGCAGATCAGTTTCGGTCTTCTTTTTGTCACATATTTTCCAACACTCTTGAGGTATTTATACCCCCAGACACGACCATTTAGTCCAATTACATACAGTGATTACCTCAGTGCAAGTCAGACACAGTACAAAGTAGCTGCGATGAAGTAAACTTCTGTAGGTATAATTACAAGCAGATTTAGATCTTTACTTCATTTAATTAGAGAAGAATTTAAAGGCATTTACATGCCTTAGGGACACAAAGTCCATCACTTCAAGAGACTAGTGCTAATCCGCGCGTGCTTTCAGAACTGCCATTCGCAGTCTTTCCTTCCTCAAACCTGCTACCACATTCAGTCTTCTCCCAACTCTACCTAGTAGGCAGCATCTTCTGCCAAGACATGGGCTCATCCTGCAGCCCCCGAAGCAGGGAGCCACCCAGTGCTTTCGATGTCACTGCCCATCAATTTCAGGCAGCGTTCAGGAGCGTTGGTATCAAAGCTTTCCCCGTCAGCGACACTGCCTGCCCCTACAAATTTGGGTTAAGTTAGACAAAATCTGTACCTTTCTGCAATGTCTCAGCAACCTGATTTTTTTAAAACCGGAAGTGGCACGTGGATAAAACGCCATTACCTTGGTCTGCTTCTTCTCTGTAGCATAGACTATAGAGGTGCAACAGACTTCAGCAAGTTTCCGACCCTGTCCGTAGAAAGACCAGCAGCAGATTTCATCCCCGATAACATCCTTAATGAAAAGAACTCTGCCGTTGAATCGGAGAGAGAGTTTGTCAAACAGCTCTATGTTCTTCAGCAAGTTGTCATCTGAGTTACTGAAACACAGCAACAGAAGAAGGAATAAGGTTTTTGTGGCTTTTCAGCTGGCCATCTCTACAGAATTTATATGCCTATTCCCCCGGTTCTAAGCATTGATCTAACTGCAGAACACAGATAATTGTGACTCACTGCCATACGCTGCCAAGGGAAGAGAGGACAACAGCCACTTGCAGATCCAAATAGATGCTCTAATCCCCATGAGCAAACACACCAGCCTTTAGAGGTCAAGCTACATAATTAACAGCAGCACAGTTTCCCAAACCATTACATCAACTACCTACAACTCTCTTGACTGGCGCTCAAGACTATTAAATCACATGCTAACCGCAGTCCCCTTTAGCTCAGTAACAGCAACGGTCTGAAGATCAATGCATGTCAGCAGGCCAACTAAAAAGTAAGGTGTTCTGCACGAGCTAGCAACGCTGCATGCAGATTTCTAGGATAAACACATTATTTAGGAAGCTAAGTTCTACTGACCGCTAATGCAATGTAGGATCGTAACTACTCTTCAAGAGAAAAGTAACCTAGATAGCAATATAGCTTTAAAATCAAGTAAAGCTATCAGAAAGCTGTGCTTAAAATGTAAAACATTTTACTTTCACAACATCATAGGCAATCAATGTCCAATTTGATTGTTAAAAAAGAAAAACCAAACCCAAACCAAACCCAAAAGCCCTACTCCTCCAATGTTAGCTCGAATGCAGCTGTACCTAAAGTCAGTATTCTGTGCCCCTTTTCTCCCTTTTTATAGGTGGCTGGGAAATTACGTGTGAATATGTGGAAATTAGGGAATATATTCTTGCCTCGTCAACAAAGCCAACCTTGCTAGCTTTAACATTACAATTCCTTACTCTCTGGGCCCAGAAGCTCAAGGTTCACACCTTGCTGCCCAGAATCCCCCCGAGACATGACATCATACTTTTACATGCAGTATCTTCTGCGAGTGGTCCAGGAAGGCTGTGAAATACTTGTGAATCAAGACACTGCTAAGAAGAACAGGGGACTGGGCTTTACACAAAATACTCGATCCAAGAAGTATGTCTGTTCAGATATAAATCAAAAAAAGCATGATGTGCAACCAGACAAAATCTTCAGCTCTCAGGAATAATTTAATAAATCCAATCTGGGATTCAGGCAGTGACAAGTCCCAGGTTCTATCATGTGGAGAGCTGGGAAAAGAATGTGTAAGTCTTCATTAACAGACCACACTGACAACCTAACTGAGAAAGGTCCTTTTTTACTGTCAATTAGGAAGACCAGAAGGAAAAAAAAAAATCTTTGCTTGCTAGCAGCCAGTGTGGAATTTTAAATAAAGATGCCTCTTTTAAACACCATCAAGGCATGCAGATTCATGCGCAAGGAATAATTAGAACCCTACAGCTAGTTGAGATACCAGCGCCTCCTGGTATCTAGGATTCTGCTGCTCTCATTACTAGCACATTTACATTTCCAGACCTGCGGTGACTAATCTGCTGTTCTGTGCTTGCTTTAGCATCGCTGCTGTAAGCTAACGCTAACCCAGGGAGGAGTGCAAGACACTGGCACATAAAGAATGCGGTCTGCTGAAAACCAGGCTGCTCTTCAGCACTCCCACAGGTAGCATTTCCTGACTACCTGAAACACCATGATTGTTAGAATCCATCTCTCTGACAGATAGATAACCAGTTTGTCCAGAGAAAAAAGCTTCCAAGATTGCATCCCAGCCCGAAAAGGCTGAAACTGAGGGTTCTGCATAGCATAAGAGATTGCTCACAGCGCTTCAATGACTGCTTTGGGAAAACCCAAAGCCATTCTGATAGCACCATAAAAAAAAGGACCATGGTAGTTACAGCATAAAACTAAATACATAATGGTACTTCATAAAGGAGGAAAGCCAGTAAATTCTTGCCCAGGCCTCATCTGGGTTGTTCCTGAGCAGAGCAGATACTTTCCTTCGTAACCAAGCAATTTGTTCATTTAGAGGCACTGGAACATCAAGAATTTCTGTAGGTCAGAGTAAAAAAGTGCTGGCAGAGGTACATCCAGACGCAAAAGCAAAGCTAAACTGATGAGGTATGGATCATGGCTGCACTGGATTTGCATCAATGAGGTGACGCAACACAAACCGGTAACTAAAGCATCTGCTTACATCTAGTTTCAGCCAGTATTAACAGCCTCGTGATTCTGAACTCTTGTCCCTTGCTTCTGTTCATCTTTCTCACACAGCTGAGCTGTACATGAGATCTCATGCTCTCCCGACATTTAGATTCACATCAGTCAAAAATAACTGCACGCAGATCCATGGAAGAGGATTGTGGTAAGAAAAAAACCCCAACCCACCACACAAAAAAAAGCCCAACTGACGTTGTGCCGCACCTTGCCCCATTCCCACCATCAAAGGGAAACTTCCCCATTACAGGGGGGAAAAGGCCGACATACCTGGTGTAGGAATATTTGTTGTTGCTTCTGTTATAGAGCAGCTTAACAACGGGCTATTGGGAGAGAAAGAAAAAATCAGAAAAGGTAAGTTCTGTGTTTGAATACATTTAGCAAAAAATCGGTTTCTCAGAGTAGTTGTGGAAAAGCAGTTACTTTCATTGATGATTCGATCAGCCTCTCTTCTTCCTTTGGAGATGTGATAATAGGGATGCTACAGACAGGTTCATACAAGTCTTTCTTGTCCTGTTTTAAAGAAAGAAGAGAGGAAATAACCTCAAGAGAGAGAAATGCTAAAACTAACATCTGCTGCTGCTGTCTTCTCCAACAACCCCTCCCGCCATATCCTCAAATCCTATGATGCAAAGCTCTGCGTTGCTATAGTAACCACAGCGTTACCTTGATCTGCAACCCAGAAACCCAGCAGAGAGATTTCTGATCCCCAGAAGGCACCAGTAACTGAAATATTGGGATGCAGGTGGATGTCCTCCTTAGCTATAGCAAGGACTCTCAGCTCAAGCCTGATTTGGTTTAAGTGGGTTTATTATTCCACCCTTTTTTGAAGGAAAAGATAGCAGTAGTTTGCACTGGTTTTAATCAACTCCAAACACTGCAGTGTATGAGAGCATCAGCCACCACGAACAGAACGTTTGGTGAGAACAGCACGTCACCAGGACGGACTTCAGCCCTCGTGACACAACAGTCACGAGCGGGTAGGACAGCCTGAGACTCCCTATTCCTCACGCAGCAAATTAAGGGAAGCTCAATAGCTAGCAGGAAAGCCTTAGAACATTCTGTTTTGAGAAGAAAGGTTTTAAATTCCAAACCAGAGAGAAAATTGCCTGCATGGCTTTGCCTTTCTTTCTGCAAATAGAAGCATATTGAACCTAGTATGTGAGGCATTTATTAATTACTAAGCTTTGTACTGCAAGAACCAGCCATTTCACAATCTTAAGACTAATAACAAGCTATATATATTCCATCTGGGCTAACCTTATTAAAAAGTTTGCAGAACAAGCTGATTTCAATCGGCTGAACTCAGAGGGACTAGTGAAGTGCGTAAAGCTACTCTGGGCTTACCTATTTGCACAGGGTAGAGGTGAACTGATACAAAGAAAAGTCCTTAAAGGAAGCAGTGCTTACCACGCAGGGCTTTTTCCCCATTAAAATTCAAACTTGGAAAAAAGCTGCCACGTTTTTGAAGATTCAAACCCATTCTGCCTATAAATATTATCTAATGAGAAGTTCGTAACTCGGGGGAAATTTAAACAAATGCCATAAGGTCTTTTTAAACATTCACTCAAAACAATCGCGTTTAGTCCATCAGTTTCCCTTTCATTCTGGCTTTTATTTAACTTCACACAAGAGGAACTTATTCACTATCTATTTCATCAATAAAATTTAAAAAAAACCCAGAGACAGAAAAGAACCAGTCCCTCCATTTAAATGACAAATAGAGTTTCTACTGTATTCATCCTCCTGACATCCCTGAGTGGTAGAAAAGTGTGGCTACCTGCATTCTGAGGTGGGCAGCTGGACAACTGCATGGAAGCACAAAGGGAAACGGCATCTCTGAAGTGACAGGAACTCGAACCGTGCACTTTCTGGATTCATATACTCTAACCAGGGGAGAGCCTTTCCCTTCTAACAAAGCAATTGCTCCCTTGGTAATGCCAACACCTCCAGAGCACAGGCACGTGAGGCCTAGAGGGCTGCGCCGTGACAGCGCATGGGTCTGGAAACATTTCCAGGGAGATCATAAACTAGATTTCCTGCCTTATTCAAAGCACAGCAGAATCCCAGGCGTTCCTACAGAGCAAGGATAACTACGGCTTTGATAAACGTGCTGGCTAAGGTCTTACAACTTACCTGACTGCTGTTTCATCTTCCTTCCAGGCTGCCCTGCACATCTGAGGCTCGATGCCCCCTCTAAGGCCATGAAATACTCTCAAGCTGTCTTCAGCAAATTTTATAAGCAAAACACCCACAACAACTTCCCAGGCTACTCCTATTTCTTACCTGCAGGGCTGCCTGGCACATGTCCACTAAGCCCTGAATGAGATAATATTTGGCTTCTGCCATCAACTCTTTGATCTCCTGCCTGTGTTTTGGAAGTGCAATCGTGTCATCTCGGAGATAGTTTAAAATTGTTCCGAAGTGCTTCCCACAACGGTCAATAAGGATCCAGCCTGAAAAATAACCATCGCATCATCTCAATCACCTTAACACTTAGTGGGGGAAGATAAAGCTCTGCAGAGAGGTTAAATAAGCCTAATGTTTCCTGAAACTGCACATGATACTATTCCCATTTCGTGCGGTGGAAGTCTTTACTGACTCTGAGCAAACTGTATGTGCTTACAGACCAGAAGCTGACAGTGGAGCCGCTCCTCCAGTACCTCCCGTATGTTCTCACTGCTTTCCAGCACCCCCAAAGAAAAGCCTGGAGCTAAAAGTACTTGGCTTCCTATCACAAGGCACTAAAATTGCTGCAGGAGCCCAACTGCACTGTATGCACTGGCCAGTCAGTGGGCTGTCTGACCCAAATTATCATCTGTGCTTTGTCTTTTCGGTATTAGGTTCTGATTAAAGGAACAGAGCTTTTTAGCTGCTATAGGGAGCCACCAGTTTACATCTATTTAATTGACTGTTCAAGCCATTCACCCTAAAAAAAAGCAGCTTTAGGTGGGTTGCTTCTTTGATCTAGAGGCTCGTCACACTTCCTGCAGAATGGGGTTGTGCCGTATCTGTGTGGGAATAAATGTACTAACTGCTGCTACGGTGTTAGGCTGGGCGACCGGAAACTTCTCACTAGGAAAGCCAAGGAAAGACTAGAAGAGAGAATTAACAAATGTTTGCAAAAAGTAGATTTGGACTAAGATCAATGGCCTAATGAGAAGGATTTAGAAGTTTTCCAAGCACATCATCTGCTGTTGCTCAGAGTTTGAGAAGGGTTCTGAAGACACTAAAAGGCAGACTAGCCCAGAAAACCCTGCATGGGAAACAGGTTGTTCTAGTCTCCAAAGAGGAGCAAAGAAGACAGAAACAGATCAGGTGGCAGTGGAGAGGGGATGTAGCACAGGAAACAGTAGCAGACAGAGAGTTCTTGCAATTTTAAAACACCCCTGAAGTCACATTTACTAGGAAACAGGATGTCTGACTTGCTGGCAAACAATAGCCATGCAGGACACACAGAGGCAGAGGGCTTCGTACAGTGCCAAACCCTCTTCCATGATGTGGAAGGCAGGCAAAAAGTGTTATTTTGGGACCTAGGCAGAGAAAACAACACAGGAAAGTAGACTAAACCACGGCTAGATTCTCCAGCTGTAGCTGTCAGAACAGGAACCTTGTCCTCCATTCGGGCTGAGGCTCTTAGACAAAACTGCTGCACTAAACGGACGCAGCTGTATGTGAAACTCCACGAGATGCAGCCTACCAAAGGGGAACTTGGGTTGAACGGGACCCAAAATCTACCCTGAATGGTTTAAGTACACACACTGTTGTAAATAAGCCTTGTAAATAAGCACTGGCCCACAGCACTGCAAGCCACACGTGGAACACGTTACCGGGAGGAAAAAGAAAAATCTCAACGTAGCCAGCAAGGCTATGCTGAGTTTTGAGGATGAAAACTGAACGTCCCTCCCCACACACGCATTTCGAACGATGCCGCTACACGACACCACGGAGATGACAACCCACGTACTGTCTGTTCAGCCTTCACGACGACATCAACAATCCACATGCCAGCTGTGATCGTGGGACGGAGAACTGGTCCTTCCGCCAGTCAATTTTAGTAACAAAAGAACACATTTTTACAAAGCGCAGGGGATCGTTAGCGCCAATGGGAATTAGCTGCTTCATGTTCCGAGCTATTTTTGGAATATATCTAAAAAAATATTATGCTGCGGATATTTAAAACACCACCACCAAACCCCAGTTATTTTACAAAATTCTCAACAAAAGACGCCCCCTTACCTTCCTTGTCTGTGAGCACTTCCATTCTGCCGCTGAACATGGCCTTAAGCATCGTGTCGTGCCTGGTCAGTACTTGCACTGTGGTGTAGTACAAAGAGCCCCCCACGTTTAGCCGCACATACTTGTTACCAAGGCTGCCCCCTTTGAAGCTGCAAGCTTTGGGCTTGGGCCCTGCAGCCGGACAAAGGGTGGTGGTTAGACACGTGTCCCCCGACATCTCCTTCTGTAGGTAGATGACAACCCTGCAGAACGTGGGCTTGACGGATTCCGCCGTGATTGGGGAAGGGTCACGACTCACCAGGCGAGGGCAGCGAGGCGAAAGCGGTCATAACCACCGGACCCTTGAGACAGAAACGCAGAAGATCAACACAGAAGCCCATGGAATCTCCACTTACAAGAAAAACACGAAGCTGACGTTAAAGAAGAGACACTTTCAGTCGGTTCCTAGGGACACACCTATCTGACAAAGCCAGGTTTAGCCGTTTTCCAGACAGCTCACGCAGCAGCACAACGGCTGCTCGGCACCACGCAGCGTGCTGCAGTTGCACTACTGTCAGCAAGGGACACGAAGCTTTTCTGCACTTCCTGTTCTTCAGCCTGCCACTACAAACACCGTACAATAACACGTTTAAACGCCAGCTGGAATTCTGCTCCCTCTCAACCTCCCGAGAGAACACAACCCTGTGCACAGCCGAAGCACAACGCTACCTGTATGTGTGGGGTTTGTCAGTGGTGGGTTTGGTTTCTAACTGGAGACATTTAGACAAGTCTCTTTGAATGCCCCGACACTGAAATGCTGAACCAGCGTGTTCGACTTCCTGGCAACTCTGTTCATACA